TCTTTACACCTGTTGTCTATGTTTACCCATCAGTAAATGGGTACCTGGGTGTTAGTCGACTAGTGTGGGTGTTATCCTGGGACACTGACCTAATTTTCTTGAAATACTCAGCATAACAAGTGCCTTTCCATACAGTAGTATGTCACTGATGTCAGCTAGGCCTGTATACCTTGTACATGTACGTGTAGTAAATATATTATTATTATTATTATTATTATTATTATTATATTATTATTATTTTCTCAGTTGTTTGTTGGGTTATCTTATTCAAACTTGGGCAATGTATGATGGAAAGACACTTCTTCACGTACACCAAAAATGAAAGAAATCAGACCATAAATAGCGGAGTTCACTTCTCAGCCATTAGAGGCCGTTTAGCGGTATATTTTTGTATGGTTGTTATGGTTATATTCTCATTTTTTCGCTCTCATTTGATAGAATGAAAGATATATTACAGAAATACATATGATTTTGATTGCTTTCATGACGAAAAGTACAGCAGGGCCCCGCTTTACGGCGTTTCACTTTACGGCGTTCCACTAATACGGTCATTTCAAATTATGACCAAAACTCGCTATACGGCTCCCCCCACCTGACTTTCTAATACGGTCACCGCGCCCCACCCTGTTTGTTTACATTCTTCGTGAGCTCAGTAAGCACTAAGTCTCTCCATTTTGTCTGGAAACTCCAAAATTTCAAATGTTTTTAAAAGTTATTTCATATTTTATATATACTCTGATAATTATACTTATGTATACCTGTACTTAAATAAACTTACATACTCTGCTGGCATGCAGGTACACATTAAAATCAGTAAGAGTGTCTTATGTCTCCAGACGTCATATTAGTAATGATAATAATAATCATCGAGTCTCATTTAAATGTCGTATATTACGTTAAATACACATTTTCATTAATCCATCTATGATATTTTTTTCAAAATTATATAATAAACACGATACATAACATAAAAAGATGATAAATACACCCCACAATAGAATAAATAAACATAAATATGAGATGTGGTAGCAGACGACTTGCACAAGTGACGCCATATTAAAAATACATAATAATAATAATCACCAAGTCTCATTAAATGTTGTATATTACGTTAATATACACATTTTCATTAATCCATCCATGATATTTTTTTCAAAATTATATAATAAACACGATACATAACATAAAAAGATGATGAATACACCCCACAATAGTTATCTGGCTACCACATCTCATATGAGATGTGGTAGCCAGATAACTTGTACAAGTGACGCCAAGAATAACATTTTCTCTAATCTAACATAAGAGAAAATGTTACTGGGGGTAACTGTAGAAAATTATTCCTTTCGTATGTATGTAAGTAAGTTTATTCAGGTATACACAAATACAGTTACATAGATTATCATACATAACAACATATGTGTAGAGAACCTAGGATAACCCAAAAAAGTCAGAGTGACTTATTTCCATTGCCTTCCATGTTACATGAGAATGGGAGTGTTCTTCTTTATTTATTCTACCGTATCAATGTAGAGACAACCTGTACACAATGTAACTTGTACACAAACCAGACGTGTACACTTTGTTTACAAAACTTACCTTCGCCTGGTTTGTTTACATAACTCTGCGCCTGTCCCCTCTCATGCACTCATTCTTTCTCTCTCATTTATTCGTTTTATCTCATTTACTTACTCCTGACCCTACATTAAGACTACAAATATTTTAAGGTAAGTAATGAGTGAACTGTATATACATTTTATCGCTCTGGGATGCTTAAATATAATAGAATATTGTGTGTAGGTGGGTTGGCCTGGTATGGTAGCCTGGCTGACTACCATACATACCACACTTGATTTTTTACAATAAATACTACTCATCTCACCCTATATTTTAAGGTAAGTAATGAGTGAACTGTATATACATTTTATCGCTCTGGGATGCTTAAATATCATAGAATTGTATGTGTGGGTGGGGTGGCCTGGTATGGTAGCCTGGCTGACTACCATACATACCACACTTTATTTCTTACAATAAATACTACTTGTCTCACCCTAGATTAAGACTATAAATATTTTAAGGTAAGTAATGAGTGCACTATGTGTGTATTGTACTTTTTTTCTTGTTTTTTGATGCCTGGTTCTATTGCTAACTTAATATATGTTAGTGTAAACTTGTTATCTAGTGTTTGTATGCATTTGTAAGTGGAAAAAAAGGGTGTTCCACTTTACGGCTGTTTCCGCTTTACGGCGGTAGCCTGGAACCTAACCAGCCGTATAAGTGGGGCCCTACTGTACCTTGAAATTGCGCTCACAGTAGCGAAAATGTTCTATTCTTTAGCGAAGCTCAAGAGTCCAATACCTGTCCGCCTGCCAGTCTAAATTCCAATACGGAGTCAAGAATGGATTGACATTATTTATACAATTATTACAATAATGCAGTAGTCTGCATAACAGTAAGTCTTCTATTTTTTGTGAATAAAAATTCCAAATGGTAAGCAAGAGTAATACAAGAGGGGCCTGTAGCCGTGACTAATGAACAGAGAAAATGTTATTTTAGTGCCAGGAATGTCTGCATTGTTTATTCTGGATTCAATTTTGAAATTGGCATCTGTTGAAATTTGTGTGAAATCGGCCAAATTGCCAATTTCTGACTTTATTGGGTAGTTGAAATAAGTGAATGGGCAGTTTCTTGTACTCAGTTGACAGACTAGAAGTAAATAAGTTTATTCAGGTATACACAAATACAGTTACATAGATTATCATACATAGCAGTGTATGTATAGAGAACCTAGGATAACTCAGAAAAGTCAAACAGAGTGACTTATTTCCAGTACCTGACTTGGGCTTGCCATATATGATTTTTGGTAAATATTTTTTTTTCTCGGTTTGTTGGGCTATCTCATTGAAACTTGGGCAATGTATGATGGAGAGATGCTTCTTAATGTACAACAAAAATAAAAAAGACGTACGATAAATAAGGGAGTTAACTTCTCAGCCATTAGCCGCCTCTTTGCAGTATATTTTCGTATGGTTTTTATGGTTGTATTCTCATTTTTTGGACTCGTTTGATAGAATGGAAGATATATTACAGAAATAGACATGATTTTGATTGCTTTCATGATGAAAAGTACCTTGAAATTGAGCTCAAAGTTGCGGAAATGTTCGATTTTTGCCGATGTTCAATGAACTCTGTAAGTCAAGTTGGGTAATTTTATTAAGTGCATTCTAACCTAACCACTCTGTAATTCAGCAAACTCAGTAATCCGGCACACTACAGGTCCCAATGATGCCGGATTTGTGATGGAGGACCTGTACCAGTAGTACATATTGGTCTGGGTAACAATCAGGTTCATTATAGGCATATCAGAGTATAGTTGAAAATAGTCTAACTTTGTAAACTCATTTGTGATGGAACATTGTGACATGATGCCACTTCCATTGGCATCAAAATTGAAAGGATGTGGCATGAATGGTGTACTTTCTGTCCAGTTCCATTCGCGGTCACATGGTGCAGGGTGGACCTGTGACATGGGGCGTGGGGGAGCAGGAGGAAGGACAGGAGTGGAGGCAACACATGGTTGAGAGGGTGCTGGAATCCTTTGTCTGCCCACCCACCATACCACGAGGTCCAGGCACCTTGCCACACACCACCTCTTCCTCCATCCCAGCATATTCTCCTTCATGATCACTATCACTATCTGTGGCTGGGGTTTTGGGCCGTGACTTGCCACGACCCTTGCCAACTGCATATGGCACACTGCCTGAACGTAGGCGACGACACCTAGAAGTACATTTCACTGGGGAATAATGATAATCACTTTAACTTGATGAATCCTCTGTGGGCATAAAATCTATTTCATCATCGTCTCTTATACCACTTTCACTATTGTCAACACCATAACACATGGAAAATTATAGTTTCCTCTTGCAGAGTTGCCTTTGGGTAGTAACACTAGCAACCCCAGAGGTGCTGGGCCGAGGGTCTGTTGTGGCCACACTGGCCACATTAGCCATATTGGTCACCTCAGAAGTGCTGGGCTGAGGGTCTGGTATGGCCACACTGGCCACCCCAGAGGTGATGGGCTGAGGGTCATCTGGGTTGTCGTGAATAGTTTTACTAATTCCTTGATCATTCGTGGCCATATTGATGTCAAATTCACTAAATTCATGTTCTGTTTCACTTTCCAAGGATAGTCGAGTGTTAATACGACAAAGCGTGAGTGAATCACGAATAAAGAGGGTTTGCCGTGGTGTTGACCCAAGATGGAGCTGAAACTAACTGGTGCTACCACGTGGTACGCTGGCGTCCCCAATTTTTTTCGTGCTGCGCACACTGAGTGCGCAAACCCATTCTCTCATGTCTAGGTGACTCAGGCCTATCACGCTAAATTTGAAGGCATGAAAAAATAAAACATAGATCTATGTTCGGAGCACTACTCAAGTGAACATAGATCTACGTTTGGACAGTTTAACCCTTAAAGTGTCCAAACGTAGATATACATTTTTTCAACATTTGTAAGTAGATCTTTTTTTTTTTTTACATTTGAAAGATTGTAAAAAAACTTTGATCTACATTTTTTTTGTTAGATTTGAAAAGTATAAAAAAACGTAGATCTACTTTTGGAGCGCTACACATGTGAACGTAGATCTATGTTTGGACAGTTTAAGGGTTAAGGGTTAAAGTTTGGATGTTTTTCAAAGTTTGATATCAAAGTTTTTCTGTTCAGTTACCTTGGGTTAATATATTTTCTTGAACATGAGTAATTAGGCATGTACCAAGAGTAACAAAGCTGCATTGTGATACTAAGGAGAAAGTCTTGATTGGTATGTTGTAGTAAACAAGGAGAGTAAAGTTACAATAAGAAAACTGTAGTAGGATGGAGTTTGAATTTTCAGGCTGGGGTCTTGGATGTTGCTTAGCCAAAAATTGATAGTTTTATAACTAGGTGTTCCTGTATTTATCTTTGTTGATTAATTTTTTTTTTTTTTTTAATATTTCAGTATAATCAATGGGTTTGCTCTGCCACTAAAGGCTGAGCATAAGCAATTTTTGATCAAGGTGCTGATCCCACTGCACAAAGTGAAGTGTTTGAGTCTATACCATGCACAGCTGGCCTACTGTGTGGTGCAGTTCCTCGAGAAGGACCCAACACTCACTGAGCCAGTCATAAAAGGACTTTTGAAATTCTGGCCTAAAACTTGTAGTCAGAAAGAGGTAAGTCAGCTGTAGCAGTGCTACATCATAATATGTCTGTTCTTCTATATTTCAAGTTGGCAAAAATTATAAATATTAGTGCATGCAGATGTTAAATTTGACTAGCCATATTTGCAAATACACTCATTCTTTTGCTGAGGAATAGTATTAGCAGCAGCAGTAGTAGTAATAGTACCAGTAGTAATTAGCTAAATTAATAGGCAAGTTATATAGCTTGCTGAACCCTTCCCGATGCTAGGTCACCTTGTTGAAGTTGGTGGTCTCCACCTAAGGGTAGGGGACCCTCTTCTCTGGGAGGGATACCACTTCCCTCAGGGTGGTTGTCTGACCATCAGGCATTTCTTGCTGCATAAATGGTGGGAATATTTCCGTTTGTCTAAATTTGATGAAACTCATGGCCGATGACATGGAATATTCTATAGCTGTGGATTGTGGAATGTGAAAAATAGTTTCAATTTTTTTTTTTTTTCAACAAGTCGGCCGTCTCCCACCGAGGCAGGGTGACCCAAAAGAGAAAGAAAATCCCCAAAAAGAAAATACTTTCATCATCATTCAACACTTTCACCACACTCGCACATTATCACTGTTTTTGCAGAGGTGCTCAGAATACAACAGTTTAGAAGCATACACATATCAAGATACACAACATATCCCTCCAAACTGCCAATATCCCAAACCCCTCCTTTAAAGTGCAGGTACAGTGGACCCCCGCATAGCGATATTAATCCGTGCAAGAGAGCTCATTGTTATGCGAAATTATCATTATGCGAATGAATTTTCCCCATAAGAAATAATGGAAATCAAATTAATCCGTGCAAGACACCCCAAAGTATGAAAAAAAAACATTTTTACCACATGAAATATTAATTTTAATACACACAAACTGAAAAAGGCATGCACAATTACATGACACATACTTTTATTGAAGATCTGGTGATGATTGATGGGATGGGAGGAGGAGAGTGTGTTAGTGTTTAGAAGGGAAATCCCCTTCCATTAAGACTTGAGGTGTCAAGTCCTTTTCTGGGGTTACTTCCCTTCTTCTTTTAATGCCACTAGGACCAGCTTCAGAGTCACTGGAGTTCTGTCGCACAACATATCTGTCCATAGTGGCTGTACCTCTCGTTCCTTTATGACTTCCCTAAAGTTGTTTCACAACTTTGTCAGTGTAATAGTCACCAGCACGGCTTGCAATAGCTGTTGTGAGGGTGATTTTCATCCATAAAGGTTTGGACTTTCAGCCACATTGCACAGATTTCCTTAATCTTTGTGTAGGCAATTTCTTCAATTTCTCTCCCCTCCTTCGAACCAGTTTCCTCAGGTCTGGCCTCTTGCTGTTGAAGTTGATCTATCAGCTCCATCAGTGGTTAGTTTTCATTGTCCTCCTCCACCAACTCTTCCACATCATCCTCACTAACCTCCAACCCCAAGGACTTTCCCAATGCCATAATGAATTCCTCAACTGGCATAGGATTCTCAGGGTTAGCCTCAAACCCTTCAAAATCCCTTTTGTCTACACATTCTGGCCACAGTTTCTTCCAAGCAGAGTTCAAGGTCCTCTTAGTCACTCCCTCCCAAGCCTTACCTATAAGGTTTACACAATTGAGGATATTAAAGTGATCTCTCCAAAAGTCTCTTAGAGTCAGTTGAGTTTCTGAGGTCACTACAAAGCACCTTTCAAACAGAGCTTTTGTGTACAGTTTTTTGAAGTTTGCAATAACCTGCTGGTCCATGGGCTGCAGGAGAGGAGTGGTATTAGGAGGCAAAAACTTGATGTTAATGAATTTCATGTCCCCATAAAGTCGCTCTGCCACGTCTGTAGGATGACCAGGGGCATTGTCTAACACCAGGAGGCACTTAAGTTCTAATTTCTTTTCAGTTAGGTAATCTTTCACATTGGGGGCAAATGCATGGTGTAACCAGTCATAGAAAAAGTCATTGGTGACCCATGCCTTACTGTTTGCCCTCCACAGCACACACAAATTAGCCTTGAGGACATTCTTTTGCCTGAATGTTCTGGGAGTTTCAGAGTGATACACTAATAAAGGCTTCACTTTGCAATCACCAGTAGCATTGGAACACATCAACAGATAAAGCCTGTCTTTCATAGGCTTATGTCCTGGGAGTGCCTTTTCCTCCTGAGTAATGTACGTCCTGCTTGGCATTTTCTTCCAAAACAGGCCTGTTTCATCACAATTAAACACTTGTTCAGGTTTCAGTCCTTCAATTCCTGCACATATTTTTCAGCTGCTTTGTGGTCCGAACTGGCAGCCTCACCATGCCTTATCACACTATGTATGCCACTACGCCTCTTAAATCTCTCAAACCAACCTTTGCTGGCCTTAAATTCACTCACATCATCACTAGTTGCAGGCATTTTTTTAATTAAATCCTGATGCAACTTCCTAGCCTTTTCACTTATGATCACTTGAGAGATGCTATCTCCTGCTATCTGTTTTTCATTTATCCACACCAATAAGAGTCTCTCAACATCTTCTATCACTTGCGATCTCTGTTTCGAAAAACACAGTTAAACCTTTGGCAAGAACAGCTTCCTTGATTGCCTTTTTGTTGCCCACAATAGTAGCGATGGTTGATTGGGGTTTACTATACAACCTGGACAGCTCGGAGACACTCACTCCACTTTCATACTTATCAATGATCTCTTTCTTCATCTCTATAGTAATTCTCACCCTTATTCCTGTAGGGTTGGCACTAGAAGCTTTCTTGGGGCCCATGGTCACTTATTTTGCAGATAAAATCACCAGAAACACTGTAATAATACGAAATGTTCCGATTGTATGCTTGGATGTTACCGCGGAGGCTGGCTGGTAAACAATGCCACCGGCAGAACATGTGAGGCTGGCTAAGGGCGCACATTAGACGCGTCTCGGACGAACAGCGTTGAGCGGGTTTTTTAGCGGTATGCGAGGCAAAATCTTAGCGATAAAATGTAGCGGTATGCGGATTTAACGTTATGTAAGGCCAACGGTATGCGGGGGTCCACTGTATTGTACTTCCCATTTCCAGGACTCAAGTCCGACTATATGAAAATATACCGGTTTCCCTGAATCCCTTCACTAAATATTACCCTGCTCACACTCCAACAGATCGTCAGGTCCCAAGTACCATTCGTCTCCATTCACTCCTATCTAACACGCTCACGCACGCTTGCTGGAAGTCCAAGCCCCTTGCCCACAAAACCTCTTTTACCCCCTCTCTCAAACCCTTTCGAGGACGACCCCTACCCCGCCTTCCTTCCCCTATAGATTTATATGCTTTCCATGTCATTCTACTTTGATCCATTCTCTCTAAATGACCAAACCACCTCAACAACCCTCTTCTGCCCTCTGACTAATACTTTTATTAACTTCACACCTTTTCCTAATTCCACACTCCGAATTTTCTGCATAATATTTACACCACACATTGCCCTTAAACAGGACATCTCCACTGCCTCCAACCGTCTCCTCGCTGCTGCATTTACCACCCAAGCTTCACACCCATAAAGAGTGTTGGTACTACTATACTTTCATACATTCCCTTCTTTGCCTCCATAGATAACGTTTTTTGACTCCACATATACCTCAACGCACCACTCACCTTTTTTCCCTCATCAATTCTATGATTAACCTCATCCTTCATAAATCCATCCGCCGACACGTCAACTCCCAAGTATCTGAAAACATTCACTTCTTCCATACTCCTCCTCCCCAATTTGATATCCAATTTTTCTTTATCTAAATCATTTGACACCCTCATCACCTTACTCTTTTCTATGTTCACTTTCAACTTTCTACCTTTACACACATTCCCAAACTCATCCACTAACCTTTGCGATTTTTCTTTAGAATCTCCCATAGCAACAGTATCATCAGCAAAAGTAACTGTGTCAATTCCCATTTTGAATTGATTCCCCAAAATTTAATCCCACCCCTCTCCCGAACACCCTAGCATTTACTTCCTTTACAGCCCCATCTATAAATATATTAAACAACCATGGTGACATTACATATCCCTGTCTAAGACCTACTTTTACCGGGAAGTAGTCTCCCTCTCTTCTACACACCCTAACCTGAGCCTCACTATCCTCATAAAAACTCTTTACAGCATTTAATAACTTACCACCTATTCCATACATATACTTGCAACATCTGCCACATTGCTCCTCTATCCACTCCATCATATGCCTTTTCTAAATCCATAAATGCAATAAAAACTTCTCTACCTTTATCTAATACTGTTCACATATATGCTTCAATGTAAACACTTGATCTACACATCCCCTACCCACTCTGAAACCTCCCTGCTCATCCGCAATCCTACATTCTGTCTTACCTCTAATTCTTTCAATTATAACCCTACCGTACACTTTTCCTGGTATACTCAGTAAACTTATTCCTCTATAATTTTTCAGTCTCTTTTGTCCCCTTTCCCTTTATATAAAGGGACTATACATGCTCTCTGCCAATCCCTAGGTACCTTCCCCTCTTTCATACATTTATTAAACAAAAGTACCAACCACTCCAACACTATATCCCCCCTGCTTTTAACATTTCTGTCATGATCCCATCAGTTCCAGCTGCTTTACCCCCTTTCATTCTACGTAATGCCTCACGTACCTCCCCCACACTTAAATTCTGCTCTTCTTCACTCCTAAAAGATGGTATACCTCCCTGACCAGTGCATGAAATTACTGCCTCTGTTTCTTCCTTAACATTTAAAAGTTCCTCAAAATATTCTCGCCATCTACCTAATACCTCCATCTCCCCATCTACTAACTCCCCTACTCTGTTTTTAACTGACAAATCCATACTTTCCCTAGGCTTTCTTAACTTGTTTAACTCCAAAATTTTTTCTTATTTTCATTCAAATTTCTTGACAGTGCCTCTCCCACTCTATCATCTGCTCTCCTTTTGCACTCTCTCACCACTCTCTTTACCTTTCTTTTACCGTCCATATACTCTGCTCTTCTTATAACACTTCTGCTTTGTAAAAACCTCTCATAAGCTACCTTTTTCTCTTTTATCACACCCTTTACTTCATCATTCCACCAATCACTCCTCTTTCCTCCTGCCCCACCCTCCTATAACCACAAACTTCTGCCCCACATTCTAATACTGCATTTTTAAAACTATTCCAACCCTCTTCAACCCCCCCACTACTCATCTTTGCACTAACCCACCTTTCTGCCAATAGTCACTTATATCTCACCCGAACTTCCTCCTCCCTTAGTTTATACACTTTCAACTCCCTCTTACTTGTTGTTGCCACCTTCCTCTTTTCCCATCTACCTCTTACTCTAACTGTAGCTACAACTAAATAATGATCCGATATATCAGTTGCCCCTCTATAAACATGTACAATAATTTTGCTTGCATTTATTTATGTAGTACGAGTCCTAGGGGAGGTTTGAGGGGGGGGGGGTAAAGGAAGTTTAGTATGCAAGGGGCATGGACATGCAACAGGCATGTGTAAGTGTGTTAGGTAGGAGTGAGTGGAGGCAAGTCGTATTTATGACTTGAAGTGCTGTTGCAATATGAGCATGGTAACATTTATGATGCGAGTCAGAAATTGGTTAACTAAACTTGAGTCATGGAAGTGGAAAATACAGTGCCTGCATTCTGAAGGACTGACATCTGAGCTGTAGTATTTGTATACCTTCGGCAAGATGGTGATGGAGTGAGTGATGGTGAAAATGCTTCTTTGAGTCATCCCTACCTCAGTGGGAGATGGCCAGAGTGTTAAAAAGAATAAAGAAAAGGTAAGTTGATCATACTAGTAAAAAGTTGCAGTGATAATCTATATTTGATAGTGATAAAAGCAAACTATGTTTATAAGCAACTAACCAAAATGTTTGTGTCCTGTAAATAAAAAAGAGCAGCAGCTTGGCAGCCTTGCCCAAGTCCAGGCTACAGCTGCTGCTGCTCTTACTTGTCCTCTAGTATAACAGTATCTTTAATTTCTTAATGCTTTATCAGTGGAAGACCTTGTCACAATGCTTAACTCAGTTTTATTTTCTTAAAAATACTTCAGAGAATTTAAATCTTTCTAAATTATGTTAATAAGATTGTCCACAGGGATGTGTGAGTGTACTTGCCAAATTGAACTCTTGATTTGTTTATGGGACAAGTACTTTGAGTCTGGTGAAAGGCTCCTGATCCAAGAAATTGTAATTGCCTCCTTAGATGAAACTTGATTACACAGTACCCCATATTTACCATGAATACAGCTAGGTCTCGAATTAGAGCAAGGTCGAATATTGTGAATTTTGCTTTAGGGCTCAATTAATACTAGTTTTCCCTCCGAAACTCTTCAAATCGTGCACAAAAATTACAATGGAGCCTCAATATTTGTACAACTCGATATTCGCCCCACTTTCTCGAGAAAACTTTGACTGCATTCAGACGTTGCCCAGATATTGGACCTAAACAAAATGGTCCATTTGGATAAAGTCCAGCAATAACAAAGCATCACATATTCAGTCTCTCGTCAACTTTTGTTCATTAAGCATTGTTTGTACAAGCTCCGTGAAAATTTGTGGTATTTCATTGTTATTCTGTGGTGTTTTTAAATATTTTCATTGAAAGTAAGTAATCATGGCCCCAAAAAATAGTAATGCTCCAAACAAGCCTAAAAGGAAAGCAGTGAGAACAATTAAAGAGAGACTCGTGGTGTAGTAAGGCATGGGGAGGCTGCTAGTACCAACAGAGATGAGGCTGAAATGTTTGTTAAGGACTGTAAAGCGTATGTAGACATTGAGGGATTTATTCGTCGACAAAATTTTAATTGTGATAAAACCGGCCTCTTTTAGAAAAGAATGCATAAGAGAACCTACGTCACACAAGAAGAAAAATCATTACCAGGACACAAGCCCATTAAGACAGGCTAACACTCTTGTGTGATAGTGCTAGTGGGGACTCCAAAATGAAACCATTGCTAGTCTATCACTCTGAAAATCCAAGGGTGTTTAAGAAAAACAATGTGATTAAAGTAAACTGTGTAATGTGGAGGACTAATAGTAAAGCTTGGGTAACAAGGCAGTTCTTCACTGAGTAGATACATGAAGTATTTGCCCCAAGTGTGAAGCAGTACCTTGCAGAAAAAAACTTAACATTAAGGGCACTTCTGGTAATGGACAGTGCTCCTGCTTACCCTCCAGGCTTGGAGGTAAATTTGGTGGATGAATACAGCTTCATTAAAGTGAAGTTCTTGTCTTCCCCCTAACACCACTCTTCTTATCCAACCCATGGACCAGCAGGTAGTTTCCAGTTTTAAGAAATTTTACACAAAAGCACTGTTTAATAGTTTCTTTGAAGTATCCTCTGAAATAGAGCTTACCTTCAGGGAATTTTGGAAAAAACCATTTTAATATCTTCTGGTGTTTAAGGATAATAGACAAAGGCTGGGGAGGGGGTTCAGCACAATGAACTCTGCCTTGAAGAAATTGTGGCCAGACTGTGTGTCAGATTTTGAAGGCTTTGAGGCAGAGCCTGTAGTGAAGGATATTGTTTCTCTGGGTCAATCCATGAGTTTGGAAATGAATGATGAGGATGTAGAGGAGTTGATGGAGGATCACAAGAATGAGCTCACTATAGAGAACTTCAAGACCTGCACAAGGTGCAGCAATTAAAAGTGGTTGAGGAAATTTCATCTTCAGAGGAGGGAAGCAGTAAAGGAAACATTTCCACTTTAGAAATTAAGGAACTGTGTTACCATTGGGCTCAGACACAGAGCCTGGTGGAAAAATGGCATCCTAGCAAATGTTGGACAGCTTCTTTAACAAAGAAAAAATAACATGCTAGTGAATCCCCATCATCATCTACTGCACAGAGACAGAAAAGAGAAAAAATACCAGATAGGCAGTTACCAGATTTTTTATGGAAGATGACAACCTTTCCAAACAATAACATCTCTCCACCTTCCTCTTAGGCCATCACCACTCCTCAGTAAAGGTAAAGTGCAGTTGAATTTTCATTTATTTCATGTTTTTATTGTTTGTATAGTTTTCATGTATGCTTTTATGCATGCAAATATTATTATACAGGTTTTGATAAGCAATATTTTTACTTAAAATGTTTTATGATTGGTAATTTTTTGGGGTCAGGAACGGATTAATCCAATTTATATTATTTCTTATGGGAAAATTGATTCAAGATTCATACAGCTTACTATTCGAACAGTCTCCTGGAATGGATTAAGTTCAAGTATCGAGGTACCACTGTACGTACAATTTGAATAATGCGACCACTTTCCGGGATTCATTATTCGCGCTCATCACAACCTAGTTGTATAATAAGTGTCAAGTACCTCTCTTATCCTCTGGTATATGGATGTGTATATATATTGATAAATGTGATGGCCTCAGTGAAGCCACCAACTGAACTGTGAACATTGATTTTATGTGGAGTAACAAAGTATAATTAAGCAAGTTTTTATCTTCACAGGTAATGTTTTTAGGCGAGATAGAAGAAATACTCGATGTAATAGAACCATCACAGTTTGTCAAAATACAAGAACCACTGTTTAAGCAGATATCAAAGTGTGTTTCCAGTCCTCATTTCCAGGTGAGTTTCACAAAACTTCGTTTTATGTAAGATTTTTCGGTGGTGAAAATCTTCCTCTTTCTTAGTCTTATAATTAAATGCTTTATGCTTGTGTAATTGGTTACATAAAGTGCATTCAGTTTCATTTGCTCTGCCTCTCTTGATTTTTATGTAGTAACTTGAGAATGACTACAGTTCCCTACAACTTCGTGCACTTAAGTGTCATGGTAAAAAAAGTTTATGCTATAATTTGTGTGTGTGTGTGTTTGTATTGTAATTAATGTGATATAGGTAGTAGGTTAGTAGACAGCAACCACCCAGGGAGGTACAACCATTCTGCAAAATGCATGTGAAATGGAAACCTGTAATTGTTTTACACAGTGATAGGATTGCTGGTCTTTCCTTTGTCTCATAAACTTGAGGAAACATTTGTCTTGCTACCTCTACTTACACTTAGGCACACTACATATACGTGTACATGTATGTGTACACACCCATCAGAATTTTCTTCTATTTCCTAAGTAGTTCTTCTTATCAATTTCCTTTCATCTCCATGAGGAAGTGGAAAAGAATCTTTCCTTTGTAAACCATGCATGTCCTAAGAGGTGTCTAAAATGCCAGGAGCAGTAGGCTAGTAACTCCTTCTCCTGTATAAATTACTTAAAATAAGAAAAACTTACATGAAGTTGGGATGTTTGAATGTACATGGATATAGTGCCTCGGTGGGAGACGCCGACTTGTTGAAAAAAAAAAAAAAGATGATAGCCAGTGTTATGTACGAAAAGAAGTTGGAGGTCCTGGCTCTAAATGAAACAAAGCTGAATGGGGTAAGGAAGTTCCAGTGGGGAGAATTAAGTGGGATTAGGTCAGGAGTATCTGAGCGAATTAGAACTAAGGAAGGAGCAGCAGTAATGTTGAAGACTCGGTTATGAGAGGAGAAGAGGAATATAAATGTATAAATTCTAAGTATTATGTGGGTTAAATTAAGGGTCAGATGCAAAAAGTGGGATATAATAAGTGTTTATTCACCTGGAGAAGAGAGGAGTGTAGAGGAGAGAGAGAGATTGATTAATTTTGGAGATGTTAAGCAAGTCTTTAGGAAGTTTTGAACCAAGTGAGAGAGTGATTGTGGTAGGAGACCTGAATGCTAAAGTGTACAAGAGGGTGTGGTAGATAAGCTTGGGGTGCCAGGGGTAAATGAAAATAGGGGGCTTTTGATTGATCTTTGCATAGAAAGAAGTTTGGTAATTGGTAATACATATTTTAAGAAAAAAAGGATAAATAAGTATATGAGATATATGGCATAGTGATAGTAGTTTGTTGGACTATGTATTGATAGATAAAAGACTGATGGATACACTTCAGGTGCATGTTAATAGAGAGGCCAGAAATCGATCATTTTTTTGGTGGGGCTACAATGAGAGTAGAAGGTAGATGGGATACAATGAGAATGACAGCAAGTATGAGAGATGTGACGGTTTATAAACTAGAGAAAGAGAGCGGATGATAGAGTGGGAGAGGTACTGTCAAGAAATTTTAATGAAAATAAGAAAAATTTTTGGAGTGAGTTAAACAAGTTAAGAAAGCCTGGGGAATAAATGGATTTGTCAGTTAAAAACAGAGTAGGGGAGTTAGTAGATGGGGAGATGGAGGTTTCGGGTAGATGGCGAGAATATTTTGAGGAACTTTTAAATATCGACCAAGAAAGGGAGGTGGTAATTTAATGCACTGGCCAGGGAGGTATACCATCTTTTAGGAGTGAAGAAGAGCAGGATGTGAGTGTGGGGGAGGTGCATGAGGCATTACGTAGAATGAAAGGGGGTAAAGCAGCTGGAACTGACGGGATCATGACAGAAATGTTAAAAGCAGGGGTGGGGGGGGACATAGTGTTGGAGCGGTTGGTATTTTTGTTTAATAAATGCATGAAAGAGGGGAAGGTACCTAGGGATTGGCAGAGAGCATGTATAGTCCCTTTATATAAAGTGAAGGGAGACAAAAGAGATTGTAAAAATTATAGAGGAATAAGTTTCCTGAGTATACCAGGAAAAGTGTACGGTAGGGTTATTATTGAAAGAATTAGAGGTAAGACAGAATGTAGAATTACGGATGAGCAAGGAGGTTTTAGAGTGGGTAGGGGATGTGTAGATCAAGTGTTTACATTGAAGCATATATGCGAGCAGTATTTAGATAAAGGTAGGGAACTTTTTATTGTATTTATAGATTTAGAAAAGGCATATGATAGAGTGGATAGGGAAGCAACGTGGTAGATGTTGCAAGTATATGGAATAGGTGGTAAGTTACTAAATGCTGTAAAGAGTTTTCATGAGGATAGTGAGGCTCAGGTTAGGGTGTGTAGAAGAGAGGAGAATACTTCTCGGTAAAAGTAGGTCTTAGACAGGGATGTGTAATGTCACCATGGTTGTTTAATAGATGGGGTTGTAAGAGAAGTAAATGCTAGGGTGTTCGGGAGAGGGGTGGGATTAAATTATGGGGAATCAAATACAAAAGGGGAAATGACACAGTTACTTTTTGCTGATGATACTGTGCTTATGGGAGATTCTAAAGAAAAATTGCTAAGGTTAGTCGACGAATTTGGAAGTGTGTGTAAAGGTTGAAAGTTGAAAGTGAACATAGAAAAGAGTAAGGTGATGGGGGTATCAAATGATTTAGAAAAAGAAAAATTGGATATCAAATTGGGGAGGAGGAGTATGGAAGAAGTGAATGTTTTCAGGTATTTGGGAGTTGACGTGTCGGCGGATGGATTTATGAAGGATGAGGTTAATCATTGAATTGATGAAAGAAAAAAGGTGAGTGGTGCATAGAGGTATATGTGGAGGCAAAAAATGTTATCTATGGAGACAAAGAAGGGAATGTATGAAAGTATAGTAGTACCAACACTCTTATATGGATGTGAAGCTTGGGTTGTAAATGCTGCAGCGAGGAGGCGGTTGGAGGCAGTGGAGATGTCCTGTCTAAGGGCAATGTGTGGTGTAAATATTATGCAGAAAATTCGGAGTGTGGAAATTAGGAGAAGGTGTGGAGTTAATAAAAGTATTAGTCAGAGGGCTGAAGAGGGTTTGTTGAGGTGGTTTGGTCATTTAGAGAGAATGGATCAAAGTAGAATGACATGGAGAGTGTATAAATCTGTAGGGGAAGGAAGATGGGGTAGGGGTCGTCCTTGAAAAGGTTGGAGGGAGGGGGTAAAGGTGGTGTTGCGGGCGACGGGTTTGGACTTCCAGCAAGCGTACGTGAGCGTGTTAGATAAGAGTGAATGGAGACGAATGATACTTGGGACCTGACGATCTGTTGGAGTGTGAGCAGAGTAATATTTAGTGAAGGGATTCAGGGAAACCGGTTATTTTCATATAGTCGGACTTGAGTCCTGGAAATGGGAAGTACAATGCCTGCACTTTAAAGGAGGGGTTTGGGATATTGGCAGTTTGGAGGGATATGTTGTGTATCTTTATATGTATATGCTTCTAAACTGTTGTATTCTGAGCACCTCTGCAAAAGCAGTGATAATGTGTGAGTGTGGTGAAAGTGTTGAATGATGATGAAAGTAATTTCTTTTTGGGGATTTTCTTTCTTTTTTGGGTCACCCTGCCTCGGTGGGAGATGGCCGACTTGTTGGAACAAAAAAAAAAAGTGTTGAGTATACCTGATGAAGTGTATGATAGAGTTATTATTGAAAGAATTAAGAGTAAGATGGAGAATAGGATAGCAGATGAACAAGGAGGCTTTAGGAAAGGTAGGGGTGTGTGGACCAGGTGTTTACAGTGAAACATATAAGTGAACAGTATTTAGATAAGGCTTAAGAGGTTTTTTTGGCATTTATGGATTTGGAAAAGGCGTATAACAGGGTGGATAAGGGGGCAATGTGGCAGATGTTGCAGGTGTATGGTATAGGAGGTAGGTTACTGAAAGCAGTGAAGAGTTTTTACGAGGATTGTGAGGCCCAAGTTAGAGTATGTAGGAAAGAGGGAGATTATTTCCCAGTAAAAGTAGGCCTTAGACAAGGATGTGTGATGTCACCGTGGTTGTTTAATATATTTATAGATGGAGTAAGAGAAGTAAATGCGAGGGTCTTGGCAAGAGGCATGGAGTTAAAAGATAAAGAATCACATATAAAGTGGGAGTTGTCACGGTTGCTCTTTGCTGATGACACTGTGCTCTTGGGAGATTCTGAAGAGAAGTTTCAGAGGTTGGTGGATGAATTTGGTAGGGTATGTAAAAGAAGAAAATTAAAGGTGAATACAGGAAAGAGTAAGGTTAAGAGGATAACAAAAAGATTAGGTGATGAAAGATTGGATATCAGATTGGAGGGAGAGAGTATGGAGGAGATGAATGTATTCAGATATTTGGGAGTGGACGTGTCAGCAGATGGGTCTATGAAAGATGAGGTGAATCATAGAATTGATGAGGGGAAAAGGGTTGAGCGGTGCACTTAGGAGTCTGTGGAGACAAAGAACTTGTCCTTGGAGGCAAAGAGGGGAACGTATGAGAGAATAGTTTTACCAACGCTCTTACATGGGTGTGAAGCATGGGTGATGAATGTTGCAGCGAGGAGAAGGCTGGAGGCTGTGGAGATGTCATGTCTGAGGGCAATGTGTGGTGTGAATATAATGCAGAGAATTCGTAGTTTGGAAGTTAGGAGGAGGTGCGGGACTGCCAAAACTGTTGTCCAGAGGGCTGAGGAAGGGTTGTTGAGGTGGTTCTGACATGTAGAGAGAATGGAGCGAAACAGAATGACTTCAAAGAGTGTATCAGTCTGTAGCGGAAGGAAGGTGGGGTAGGGGTCAGCCTAGGAAAGGTTGGAGGGAGGGGGTAAAGGAGATTTTGTGTGCGAGGGGCTTGGACTTCCAGCGGGCATGCGTGAGCGTGTTTGATATGAGTGAATGGAGACATATGGGTTTAATACTTGACGTGCTGTTGGAGTGTGAGCAAAGTAACATTTATGAAGGGATTCAGGGAAACCGGCAGGCCGGACTTGAGTCCTGGAGATGGGAAGTACAGTGCCTGCA